GGGCTTGTTGATGGGCTCGGTGGTGCAGTTAGGCTGCCTGGGGGGGGCGGGCATGACGTTTCTGCGCGCCCCTCGTCAAGATGGGAAAGCGAGATGCGAGGTCGGGAAAGCGAGACGCGAGGTCGGGAGGGGGGGGGCGGGCTGAATGGGGCGGGCGCGGGCGTTTTAGACGAGGGTTGCGGCTCCGAAGCTACATTGCTCACTGCAGTCCTCCTGTTCCTCTCTCCTTTCCTCCTCCTCCTCCTCCTCCTCCTCCTCCTCCTCCCTCCCCCTAGCCCCTCTGTCTCCTCAGTTCCCGACGATAGTCGCCGTGCGCCATTGTCCCTCCGCATTCCCCACCCTTTGTCCCCCTCTCCTTCCTCCTTTCCTCGCTCCTCGCGGACGCCTGGCGATCACGCCCGTCAGCGCGCGGCGCATCGCCGCGAAGTTGACCTCGCAACTCGGGCACGCTTTGATGAGGACCTCTACCTGAAAGATCTGTTATTTATCATCGAGGCGTTGGTCTGACGTTAGTCTGACGTTGGTCTGGCGTTGGTCTAGCGATTGGACCAGCGTCAGACCAACGTCAGACCAACGTCAGACCAACGTCAGACCGACTTGGTCTGACGACCAACCAACGTCAGCCCAACGTCAGATCTCTTCGTTGCTCCCCATGGGGGTGGGAAGAGGCCGTTTTGAAGAGCAACCGCCAATGGTGCCATCAGGTGAAGGCTGCGCGCGTGCACAGCGTGGTCTTTGCCGAGGGTGCGGTAGTTGTAGAGATTGAAGGCTCGCTTGGAGCCTTGGTTCCTAACATGGTCTTGGAGGGCCACCTCCAGGGACTCTGCGTCCACGGTGGGCGCCTCGTGGTGCGCCATGCGAGCAAAGCGCGAAGGGGGTGGCCAAACGCACTTCTGAGCTCAAACGAGCTGTGCGCGCAGGCGAGGGTTGAACGATAGGGGGCATGTGTGCCGACACTGGCGGGGGAACGCTATCCAAACTTGTCTCTGGGGCCGCAAGTGGAGCTCCCTGAGGGGCACGGCCCACGCGACAATCTATGTCCTCCACAACGGAACACTTTCGACCACACCTATAGCTTGGTAGAACCTCAGTGGCGATAGAAGTGGCGGTGTCTACTGGGTGCGTTTTTTCTTCAGTACCGAATGCACAAGGTCTATCAGGTGCCCATCAGACGGCCCCTGGTCCCACAGGTGCCACAGGTCCCACTAGGTGCCCACAGGTCTCACCAGGTGCCCACAGGTCCCAAGAGGCCCCGTGCACGGGTGCCCAGCACACACTAGGAGGCACGTTTTCACCCTCAATCGGAGTCGCTCGGGTCCTCCCCGCGCGGCGGTGCAAAGGTCTCCTGAATCCTATATTCGCACACAGGACAGAGACTGTCTATTGCAGCACAGGCAGGGCAGCCGCCGCACGAAGCCCACTCGATAGGCCACTCCCGAGGCTTCGCCTCAGCGCGCCTCCAAGCAAGACGACGAGGAGGGCAGCGGAATCCCAGATCCATAGGACTGCGAGGGAGAAGCCGGACGGAGGAGGCGATGAGGACGGCGTAGGACCATGCATGTCCTTTGAACCCCATCGTGGGAGTCCAGCGCTAGTCTGAGCTATGCGACTATGGCAGCCCAGGCTGGCGCACGACTCCAACACGGGATTCATGTGCCATGCATGGTCTTACCCCGTCAACATCGCCCCCTCCATTTTTGAGTATTCCCTGCTTCCTCTTCCCTACCATCCGTCTTCCTCTTCCCTACCCTTCCCCACCCTCCTTCCCTCCCCCTTTCAATTTCTCAGTAGTTTGCGTATTCCTGCATTTCCCTCTTCTCAACCGTCCGTCTGTCCAGGAGTCAGCTCCCCCCCCATTGCGCCGCTTCCTCTGGAGCCTGGTGATCAGTTTTAAGCGGCCCTTAAAGTTCGGCTCCGTCTCACCCGTCTTGAACCTGACCTTGCTCTGGAGCCGCCGCATGACAAGGTGGTAGGGCCTTTCCATTGGCTTGCTCCTTCGCGGAACCCCCTGGTCCTCCTCCTCCCCCCATTTCCCCCCCCCTTCCCCCCTCCTCCCAAGAGGTCCCATCTCTCTCTCGCTCTCTCTCTCTCTCTCTCTCTCCCTATCTCTCTCGTTTTTTTTGTCTCTCTCTCTCTATCTCTATGTGTCTCTCTTTCTCTCTGCCTCTCTGTGAATCCTCCATCTCCTCTGCCTCTGAGGGCATTGCATGGGCCTCCCCCTTCCCGTTCATAAGATCCGACTCTGGCTCTCGCAGGCCCTCGCTCTCATCCTCACTATAGTTGTCTCTTTCGTTATTGCTTTCTCTCTCTCTCTCTCTCTCGCTCTCTCGTCGTCCTCCTCCTGCCCCCTTTCTTCCTGGCGTTCCGACGTTTCGGCCGCCCCTGCCCCTCGACGTTTTGGCTCTGCGCTGCCCCCTCCGACATTTCGGCTACCGCTCCGACGCTGTGACTGCTCTCTCCCCTTCTCTTTCTCTCTCTCGTTCCCCCCTTTATGCGGTGCAATCTATTTGGTGCCGTCTACGTGGTGCGACCTACGTGGACCGAGCCTCCGAAGTGTTCTAGCGTGCGATGTCGTGCGGCATACGTGTTGCAATCGATCTGGTGTGATCTACGCGGTGCATGTTCTGTTGCGCAGTCTATGTGGTGTAACCTATGTGGTGCAAGCTGCGCCGTTCAATGTATGTGTTGCCGTGTGTGCTGCGCATATCGTGAAATCGACGCGCGCATTGCAAGCGATCCGACGTCGTGCAATCTACACTATACAATATACGCCACACGCTCCCTCCGTCTATGCCCCTCGCTGTCCTCATAATTCTCATCGCTCCATCTCCTCCTCGAGCTCCTCCTCTTCTTCCTCCGCCTCCTCCTCCCCCCTTTTATCACTGCTCGTTAAGTGTTTTCCATGCCCTCCAACCCGTCCTCTGCATGTCCCCAAACAGTGTTTGCATCATAAGGGGTTCATACTTCGGTTAACCATCTCGGGACCACCGCCGCAACATTGCCGCCGCGCCGCCCGTCGCCGCCTGTCGCCGTCGCTGCAAAATCGCCGCCCCTCCCACCACTCCAGGGAGGCCCCGCCTGAGCGAGGACAATATTCGCATAGCATACCAGAGCAAGCGCTTTGCGGAAGGCTAACCCTGACGGGGGCGGGAGCCGAACGGGCGGGACCCTAACGGGCGGGTCGGGCGAGACCCTAACGGGCGGCACCCTAACGGGCGGGTCGGGCGAGACCATGACGGGCGGGTCGGGCGGGCGGGACCCTGACGGGCGGGTCGGGCGGGAGGGACCCTAAACCATAGATTTGTTTTAGAGATTTTCATTACGTGATTCCTCAACGGGTTTCTTGTGGCCAAGGCGGCGTCTATTTACAAGAGCACGATGCGGTTCGAACCGCACGAAGAAGCCTCACGAATCCCCGTAACCAGACGCCGCCCGTAACCAGACGCCACCTGATGCCTGGCGGCGTCTGGTTACGGGAGCACGATGGGTTTCGAACCGCACGAAGAAGCCCCACGAGTCCCCGTAACCAGACGCCGCCCGTAACCAGCCCCGTAACCGTGTATGTATGTATCACGTGTTGTGTCTGATGCCAGGGAGCGTTCTGATTAATCCATGAGTATCGCTTCCTATCGTGCCCTCGTAGTCGTAGCAGTAGCAGCAGTAGCAGCAGCAGCAGCAGCAGTAGTAGTAGTAGTAGTAGTAGTAGTAATAGTAGTAGTAGTAGTAGTAGTAGCAGTAGTAGTAGTAGTAGTAGTAGTAGTAGTAATAGTAGTAGTAAACGTAAGATCAGTGAAAGTAGTAGTACTAAAAATACTAGTAGCAGTAGTGGTGGTGGTAGTCGTAGTCGTAGTAGTAGTAGTAGAAGTTGCAGTAGTAGTAGTAGCAGCAGTGGTGGTAGTAGTAGTAGTAGTAGTAGTAGTAGTAGTAGTCGTCGTATTGGTGGCAGTGGTAGCAGTAGTAGTCGTCGTAGTAGTAGTAGTAGTCGTCGTAGTAGTAGTAGTAGTAGTAGTAGTAGTAGTAGTAGTTGTAGTAGTAGTAGTAGTAGTTGTAAGCGAAGCAGTAGTAGCAATAGTAGTCGTACTAGTAGCAGAAGAAGCAGCATACGTAGTCCGTGTCGCAATCCGAGTTTCGGTGGTGCAACATATGCTGTGCAAGCTATGGTGTGCAAGCTATGACAAGCATCGTACGTCGTGCAACCTATTTGAGCTATCTTCCCCAAACGGTGCTTGCACTTAGGTGATCTGGCACCTTTTCTAATTAACTAGGCCTGGGTTTTGGCATGGCATCTATGCCGTCGCCTCGTCGCCGCCCGTCGTCTGGACCTGGATTTTGGTATGGCGGCTATGTCGTTGCCGTTGCCGCCCCGCCGCCGCCTCTTCGCCGCTTCGTCGCCTTGTTGTTGCGCATGGCTTTGCATTGCGTTGCTTTGCTGTACGTCGTCGCGCATTTCTCTGCATTGCTTTGCATATCCTGACGTTGCATGGCTTTGGCTGGCGTTGCTACCCCATAATATGACACCACATCGCGCAGACCATCTACATTGCCCCACGCTGCTGGCACCATAGATATTGCGCACCGCACAGCTTAGACCACACATATTTCACCGCTTAGGTTGCACACGTTAGCTTGGACCGCATATCTTGCACCACATATGTTGCACCCCATGGAAGGCACCACGTAGCTTACACCAAGTAGATTGCACCACATACATTCCAACATATAGCTTACTCCGCATATATATATGTATATATATATATACACATCTATATTTATACATATATACTATAGACTGCACCACATGGTTTTCACCATATAGCTTACGCCACACATATGGCACCACGTATATTGCACCGCGTCGATTGCACCACATATATTGCCACACCTATTGCACCACGCTGCTTACACCACATAGATTGCACCACGTATGTTGCTAGAAACCCACTGTTTGGGGTCCATGCTCCTCTTCTCCTTCCCTCTTCTCCTTCCCCAGCCCCGCACTCCTCTTCATGAAATGGCAATACTCGGGGATCTCGTACTCCACGACGTCCGTGACCGGCCTTGGCCGCCACGCTCTCTCCTCCTCCTCGTCCTCCACCTCTCACTTGTCCTCTCGCCCTCCTCGTCCTCGTCCTTCTCTCCTCCTCCACCTCTTCCTCCTCGTCCCCCTCTCCTCCACCTCGTCCTCCTCGTCCTCCTCCTGCACTCCTCCTCGTCCTCTTGTGGTTGTGGTGATGATGAGGTTGACAATGGCAGTGCTAATGATGATGTTGATGATGATGATGCTGATGCTGATGATGCTGATAATGATGATGATGATGATGATGATGATGATGATGATGAGGATGAGGATGAGGATGAGGATGCTGATGATGATACTGATGATGATGATGATTATGATGCCGATGATGGTGATGATGGTGATGATGACGATGATGACGAAGTGGAAGGCAGACCTGAGGCCGCGGCAGCTCGAACCGAACCTGCTGTAGGATCGGGAGCTTCACCTTCTTCTCCTCGCACCTGGCTCGCACCCACTCGGCGGAGTTCCTCCTCCACATTCTCCTCCACGTCCTCCTTACCTCCTCTCTTCCTTCCAGTCCCCCCCAGTACCTCCTTACCTCCTCTCTTCCTCCTTTCCTCCTCCACATTCTCCTCCACGTCCTCCTTACCTCCTCTCTTCCTTCCAGTCCCCCCCAGTACCTCCTTACCTCCTCTCTTCCTCCTTACCTCCTTACCTTCCACGTTTCTCCTTACCTCCTCTCTTCCTTCCTCCACGTCCTCCTTACCTCCTCTCATTACCTCCTACTCCCGCCCACCCCGAGTCCCTCGGGCACCTGTCGCCCATGGCTGGCTGCCCCTGCAGCCTGGCCCAAGGGCGAGCCTCCTGTAGCCAAATTCTGCACAGCGAGGGTGAGGGAGAGGGGGGGTGATGAATACATGACGACGGTGATGTTATGATATGATGGCGGTGACATGATGAAATCATGATGTTCTCTAGAAACATAGTGATATATGATATAGAGGTGTATTGATATATTGATGATGTGTAGTGATATGATAATGGTGATATGGTTGTAATGGTATCGTGATGTAGTGATGTAGTGATATCGCAAGGACGCGAAAAATCGGTCGCGAGGACGCGAAAAATCGGTAGCGAACGACACTAAAATTCGGTAGCGACGCGATCAAATTCGGTCGCGGGCATCAGCTCAAAATCGGTCGCGACTGAAACGAAATCCAGTAACGGCGACCGGATTTTCGAGGACGTCGGCGGAGCCTTCGTTACCGGAATTTGTCGGTGACTTTCAAATTTCGGTCGTTCCCGATTCCTCCCCGCCGCGACCGGAAATTTCCAGTCGCGGATGATCTGGGTGGAGGCGGGAGGCTCGAATTTCCGGTTCGCGGTTCCCCTCTTGGAGCCCTCTTGGTGCCGTCTCTCTTCGCCGGTCTTGGGCGCGTCTTGGGCCGTCTTGGGGCCCTCCAGAGCCGTCTTGAGGGCCTCGTGGAGGCCTCTTGGGCTGTCTTGGGGCGTCCGCGGGAGGCCTGTGAGCCGTCGTGGAGCGTCGGAAAGCTGAAAAGGCGGGAAAGGCGAAATGTATCCAAAACCTTTGTAAAATCAGCGATTTTGGCCTCTTGGGGCCCTCTGGGGGGGCGGCCTCTTGGAGGCCTCTTGGAGCGTCTTCGGGGCCTCTTTGGCCGTCGTGGGGTTATCTTGGGGGTCTCCTGGGGCCTCTTGGGGCCCGGCTCGAATTTCCGGTTCGCGGTTCCCCTCTTGGGGCCCTCTTGGGGCCGTCTTGGACCTCTCTTCGCCCGTCTTGGGCGCGTCTTGGGCCGTCTTGGCGCCCTCCAGAGCCGACTTGAGGCCCTCTTGGAGGCCTCTTGGGCTGTCTTGGGGCGTATGCGGGAGGCCTGTGAGCCGTCGTGGAGCGTCGGAGAGCTGAAAAGGCGGGAAAGGCAAAACGTGTCCAAAACCTTCGTAAAATCAGCGATTTTGGCCTCTTGGGGCCCTCTGGGGGGGCCTCTTGGAGGCCTCTTGGAGCGTCTTGGGGGCCTCCTTGGCCGTCTTGGGTTTATCTTGGGGGTCTCCTGGGGCCTCTTGGCGCCCCTTTGGGGCCTCCTGGGGCCCTGTGGAGGCGGGAAGCTCGAATTTCCGGTTCGCCGTTCCCCTCTTGGAGCCCTCTTGGGGCCGTCTTGGGCCTCTCTCTTCGCCGGTCTTGGGCGCGTCTTGGGCCGTCTTGGGGCCCTCCAGAGCCGTCTTGAGGCCCCCTTGGATGCCTCTTGGGCTGTCTTGGGCGTCTGCGGGAGGCCTGTGAGCCGTCGTGGAGCGTCGGAAAGCTGAAAAGGCGGGAAAGGCAACATGTATCCGAAACCTTCGTAAAATGCACGATTTTGGCCTCTTGGGGCTCTCTGGGGTGGCCTCTTGGAGGCCTCTCGGAGCGTCTTGGGAGCCTCTTTGGCCGTCTTGGGCTTATCTTGGGGCCCTCTTGGCGCCCTCTTGGGCCGTCTGGGAGCCATCTTGGGCGTCTTGGATCGATCGTAAGCGTCTCGAGGCACGCTTGGGCCGTCTTCAGCGCCTCTTGGGCCGGACAAGGGCGCTCCCGGAGGCCCGATCGTCCCATGGGGGGTTGCGGTCCCTGCCAGGGAGCCCCCGGTCCTGTAGCCCGATATATATATATATATATATATATATACACACACATATATACATATACATAGACATGTATGCATAGACATGTATATACATACATTTATATACATATATATATATATATAAATAAATATATATACATATATATATATATATATATGTATATATGTGTGTGTGTGTGTCTATGCATCTATCTCTACATTATTATCTCTCGCGCTCTCGGTCTCTTCATCTCTGTCTCTCGATCTCTGTCTATGAAAGATACCGCCAGCGCCTGGGCGACACCAACGATTTTATCAGAGACGTGGCCGGCGCAAAGGCGAGAACGGCATGCTCAATGAAGGATGCCGCTGCTGTCGAGGCGACGACAACATGTTCAGCCCTAGGTGTGGCCCGCGCACAGGCCGGAACACCATTCCGAGATGAACGGGTCCCCAGTATGCATGTGTCACGCCAACTTCGCGTGCCCCTGGCTCGGACCGAGGTCTAGGTGACGTTGGGCGGGCAATTCATGTGAAGGGGGTTGCACCGGCACGCGGCCAAGCCGGCCACACTCCCCAAGGCTGCCGCCGTATCCTGCTGCTGCGCTATGAGGCCGCTGTCGTCCAGGGTGTACACCAGGTGGCCCGCCCACGGGTCTATCCGTGGGCGCCAAGGCAGCTTGATCGTCCTGCGGGAGGTCTTGAAACGATGGCTCTGGGACGCCTTAACCAGACCGTGGGCAGAGTACAGTGATGCAACCGCCTTGGACAGCACGGTGGTCCGCAAGCACACACCAGGATTAACACTCAAGACCAAGGCAATCGCGTGGGCAAACCGAGGTCGGGCGCTGAGAACTTCCCAGCGGCGACGCTGGTTCGGTCCACTCGCGAAGCCAGGAGAGAGAAAGAAGGAGAGAGGGACGAAGAACGACTACCGTGCCACACCTGCATCGCCTCACTGTTGGCAAGAGAACTCGCGCCAGGCAGCACACAGTAAATGCATGCTGCATGCTGCAGCAGATGCAGATCGTGACACTCTGAGGGAGAACCGGTATTCGCGGCGAGCGAGGGGGGGGAATGAGAAGGAGAAGGCTTTCGCAGAAGGCGGCGCGACTTCTTAGAAGCCCTCGAGCCTTCTGAGAAGTTGTCTGTGACTACGGGGAAGGCTCTGAAAACTCCTCAGAAGGCTGGGGGACTTCCGAACCTTCTGAGAAGGCCTTCTCCTTTTCACTTCCCCTCCGGGCTCGCCGCCGACGGTAGGAACATCCGAAGCATTGTCAGGGCAGCATCGAAGGGCGGGCGCAGCAGCAGCTGAGGCAGGCGGAGAAGGTGAGGGAGAGGGAGAGGGAGAGGTTGGGGCAGAGAAGACAGGCAGTAAGCATAGAGAAAGAGAGACATAGGGAGAATAAACAACCAATGGAACGAGAGAGGAAGAGAGAGAGAGAGAGAGAAAAAAAAAAAAAAAAAAAAAAAAAAAAAAAAAAAAAAAAAAAAAAAAAAAAAAAAAAACGAGACCGAGAGAGAGAGAGAGCGAGACAAGGACAGAGAGAGAAACAGAGGCAGAGAGACGCCGCAGAAAGAAAGGGGCCTCTGAACGAATCGAGCTGGAAGAGGGTGAGAGAGACAGAGAGAAAGGACCTCAACGAAGAAAAGTGAGGAAGAAAGATAGAGCGGAAAATGCGGATGATTGAAGATGCTGGCCAGGAGAAGGATCAATATTAGAAAGGAAAACAGCAGGAGGCCGAAAAAGAAGACAACGAGGAGGGCGCCGAGGACGATGAGGGTCAGAAACCAGAAGGATCATGAAGAGAATGGTGGGTAAGCAGAGCAGCTGCACCGATTACTGAGGCAACGACAACGGCGACGGCGACGGCGATATACGACCGACAACGGCAAAAACGAAGACAACAAAAAAACTCAAACTCATCAATGCAAGTGGCAGTGAGCCTGGCACCTCGAGCACAACGAAGGCCCTCGAGATGATATAGCCCCTTCTGGCAACAACCTACCCACGCAGCAGGCTGCCGCAAGCCCCGCGTGCCCCGCGGGGAGGGACGGGAGAATCCAACGACGCCAGGCTGCCGCGCGTGCGGAGGCGCGCGGGATGTCTGGCTGGCTCCCTCCGCATCTCGGGTCGGGCGAAAGGGGGGGATAGCAAAGGGGGGGGTTGAGAATCAGCTCACGTAGCTGATTTTCCCGGCGCCTCCCGGCGCCAGAGGCGGCTATGTATCGAGGCATGGGCCCCTCGGTGAGGCCGAAACCAGCTGCATGCAGCAAATTTCGTACCCCCCCCTTTCCCAACCCCCCCCTTTCGTCCGGCCCGAGCATCTCTGGGGAAGCCGAAAGGTACCAATACCACTTTTCGCCGGACCTCTGCTGGGGTGGGATCTGACTATGATCGCGGGGCGAATCCAGCGGTGGCGGCGGCGAGGTTCTCCCAGGAGGCCCCCGAGAAAAGGGGAGAACGAGGGAAGGGTAGCGGTATGGGTACCTTCTCCTCCGACTTCCCCCCTCCCCCGGAGCCCCAAATCCTGCTCAAGTGGGAGAGAGGGAGGCCGCCTCCCCCCCCCTTTCCAAGGCCTCCAGGAGGCGCCAGGCATGCCGTGCAAGACGGCTCTATGTGGCTAGAGCACACCTGAGAGGCCTCCATATGCTCAAGAAGCACTGAGAGACCCCAAGATGATCCAAGGAGGTCCCAAGGTGGAGCCCAGACCCCCAGATTATTTCGGAAACCAGGCAGTCAGTTGTTGTTCAACGATGCTGTTCCGACGCGCCTCTTAACCTACAAACGCTTCCAACAGGGTCCAAGAGACCTGCCCCACCGCAGCCGAAGACACCCCCATGATGATGGCCCAAGAGTTGCCCCAAGCTGCTCCCGGACGGCGTCCAAGACGGACACCAAAAAGGCTCCAAGACGGCCTAGGCCCGCTCCAGAATAGCCCAACTCCCCCCCGCGGCTTCAAGAGCTCTCCCATGCGACTTCCACGCCCCCAAGGTACGCCACCATTGGCCAAAGGCTCCCAACGTGCCCCAGAAGAGCTCCAAGGGACCCCACCCCCGGCACACACACACACACACTTACCTTTACGTCGGCAGCGCAGAGGAACCACAGGCGCGGTCGGCAGATGGAGGTGCCACACACCCACACACACACACACACTTTTTGGCGCCGCGGCCCCGCGTGCAGCGACAGGGCATAGCATCACACGCACACACACACACACACACTTGCTGGCGTCGATACCACGTGTGCAGTGACGCGGTGGAGTCGCTCCGAGCTAGGAGCCCAGAGGAGTGCCGCCGAGGCCTCGGCAGGGTGGCCCGGGGAGGCTCCCGCAGCCCGAGCGGGGAGAGCCAAGGGGTCACCCGGAGGGAACCACGCTGTGCGTGCACACCCCGCGGGGGAGGAGGGGGTTGCCGAGGGAGGAGGCGTGCGTTGAAGCCATCGGGGGGTGCTTACCTACACGTGCCGCCCGGGGGGGGGGGGGGGCAGAAAGGCAGCGTACGAGGACTCGGTCTGGCGGTGGCGGTGGCTGACCGCGTGATCATCAAGGCTGGCGCAACGAGAACCCAACACACTTGCGGGTCGACCGCAGCCAGGACAAAACGCCCCTCGGGCGATAAAACCAGAGCACAAATCAACATTCAGGCATGTATGCAAACATAAATGCATACATCGAGACACAGGTTCATATATGTATATGTGCATGTATACGCATTATATCTATATACACAGACGTGCGTTCCGCATGCATGCGTACACACATACAAACAAGCCCGCAGTATTGTATGCATACATACATGCTTGCATACATTCATGTATACATGCATGCATACAGATCATACAGACATACATCCATCCATACATCCATCCATCCATTCATACATACATATATGCAAACATACGTACGTACAAATATACATACATCCCGACATCCATACATACATGCATACATGCATACATACATACATGCATGCATACATACACACACAAAAACATACATCCATACATACATACACACATGCGTGTGTACACACATACATACATGCATGCGTGCTTGCATGCATGCATGAGCGTGTGCATGTATTCATACACACGCACACATACATCATACATACCTACATGCATTTCAAATTCATATGTAATCACGCATGCAAGCATAACTACATACACACATACATGCATGCATACATACATACATGCATGCATACATACACACATACTAGAACCACGCGCCCGCTACGCGCTCGCTTTGGTTGTAGTCGCAAGTGAGGCACGGGTGCCGCTGTAAGCCCTGATGTGGTCACGACGACGATTTCCAGCGTTCTCGGGCCCATGCCATCGACGCAAAGAAACGCGTAGTCAGAAGGCTCTCGCTCTGCCGGGGCCGCACTTGAGGGGTGGTAGGGGGAAAGGAACTTGTGAAATGATAGGGTAAATCGATGCCCCGCTCGCTCTGGCGGGGCCTGTCTGACGCTCTGGCGGGGCCGTCCCAGGAGAGGAGGGGGGAGCACGAAAGCTGAGGGGCGAGGGGAGTAAGAGGAGAGAGGAGGGAATGGAGGCAAAGGGAGGGGGCGGGGGGACGGAGGGGGGAGGCCCGGGCCATCTGGGCCGTCTTGGAGCGCTCTGGGGCCTCCCGCTCCCGCTCTGTGGCCCAGCTTGAGACTGTCCTGTGGTTCTCTTGGGCCGTCTGGGACTCCTCCTTGACTATTTTCGGGTTCCCTGGGGCCGTCGTGGGGCTCTTTCGGATGCCTCTTCGGCGGTCTAGTGGCGGTCTTGGGGGCGACTGCGGCCGTCTTCGAGCATTGGACGCTCGAGAACGCGAGAAAGCGAAACACATGAAACAAACCAATGCATATCAATGGTGTGGGCCTCTTTTGGCTTCGGGGCGTCTCTCGGAGCTCTGTGGAGCCCTCTTGGAGGCCTCTCGGCCTCTTGGGCCTCCCGCTGCCGCTCTGTGGCCCAGCTTGGGCCAGTCCTGGGGCTCTCTTGGGCAGTCTTGGGCTGCTCTTGGGCAGTCTTCAGGCTCTCCTGGGCCATCTTGGAGCTCTTTTTGGAGGTCTCGGGGCGATCTTGGGGGCGTCTTCGGCCGTGTTCGAGCGTTGGAAGCTCGAGAACGCGAGAAAGCGAAACACAAACAGAAATCAAGGATGTGGGCCTCTTCGGGCTCTCTCGAGACGCCTCTCGGAGCTCTCCTGGGGCATCTCGGAGGGCTCTAGGGCTGTGTATTGGCCGTGTTCGGCCAATCCGGGGGCCGCGTTGGGGCCATCAGGGCCGTCTGGGAGCGCCGTGGGGCCTGCCGCTCCCACTCTGGGGCCAGGCTTGGGTCTGTCGTGGGGCTCTCTTGGGCCGTATGAGGCTCGACCCGGGCAAGTTTCGGGCTCCCTGGGGCAGTCTTGGGGCTCTGTTGGGGGCCTTCTCGGCGGTCTTGGGGGCGGTCTTGGGGGCGTCGTCGGCTGTGGTGGAGCGTCAGAAGGTCGAAAACGCGAGACGCCGCAAACCATATAAAAAAAAAACAACAGAAAATCAAGGATTTGGGAGTCTTCGGGCTCTCTCGGGACGCCTCTCGGATGTCTCTTTTGGACACCCGAGATGGGCACGGAAAGAATGGGCACCATGCCCAACAACAAATGTTGTCCCAAGCCAACAGCGGCCGCTGTTGGGCAGGCGGCCTCCTGTCTCGAATGGACACAGGCCGCGGCGGCGTGGACAGCGAGCCCTGTTGAAAATGAACAGGAACTGCTGTTGGGCATCGTGCCCATTCTTTCAGTACCCATCTCGTGCGTGCAGAGGAACTCTTCGGGCTCTCTCGGGACGCCTCTCGGATGTCTCTTGAGGCATCTCGGAGGCCTCGTGGGCTGTGTATATTCCCAATCTGGAACCCCTCTGGGGTTGCGTTGGGGCTATCTGGGCTGTCTTGGAGGGGCTTGTCGCCCGGTCCTCCCATGCCCCCCCGAGCCCCGGGCATGGGGCGCCCGGGCTTCGCGCACGGCTAGAATGTATATATACATATATATATATATGTATATATATGTGTGTGCATACATGCATGCACACACTCTCTCACTCTCTCTCCCTCTCTTTCTTTTTTTTTTCTCTCTCTCTCTCTCTCTCTCTCTCACGCACACACGAACACACGCACACACGCACACACGCACACACGCACAAGCACACACACGCACAATGGTTACAACATGTGCTTGCGAATTGGCCCTTTGGATGCCCTCCGAGGTCTCGCTTTTCGGCATCATTGTTTGGTGTCCCCTGCCCTTGCTGAAACCTGGCATGAAGTGACCAGTCGATCATGTGAGCTTCTATCCATTTCGGAGGGGTCGGCGGAATGGCGTGCGTAGGCCGTTGGAGGTACATGCGCCGTTCTGACACACGCAACAGTGAGGAAAAAACACCCAGGGTCCCCTCGGCGACGTAGTCGGCCTCAATGACGTTAGCACCCGTCACGCGGATGCCATCGAGCCGCAGGGTGCTAACAGCGGGGTCGAAGAGGAAGCCCAGCGCCTGAGGCTCTCTGAAGTGCTCACTGGCCAACAGTGGCAGCCCGAAAGCCGTCCAGGCCTACCCCTGTTCAAGGGAGATTTCAGACAAGACGGCGTTCGCGGTTTTCCCCAACGCGGGCGACCCCGAGGGCTCTGGACAAACTTTCGGACAACCTAATTCGAAGAACCCCCCACTTCGAGCCTGCCGATACTTCGCCAGGCCGTCGACAGCGTTGTTTGGGTCTACGAACCGACAATCGTCCCGGAAAATGCCCGGAGACAGCTTGCCAGTCAACGTGTACATGTTGTCTGCGAGGTCCGTTCGCAAAATCCGCAAGAGCCCAAGGGCACCATCCTCACCATGGTCCACCAGTTCATGTTCCCCTCCCCTCATCATCAACACTATCAACATCAGCTTTACATCCCTGCCCCGGGGCAATATCCCCCTTGTCTCCTGCTAATGACTGTCTCATCCGACTAATCGTCATAATCCTCATATTCGCCCTCCTACTCGTCCTCCACATCATAAAGAAAGTCTCCCCTACTACAGTGTCTACTACACGGGTTCCCCCTTGTCGTTCTCATCCCCCCCGTCCACTACATCACACACCAGCCCCTTCCAGCCCGACCAACTCGCCTGTCTTTCGACCCCCCCCGCTCCCAATGCTGCTCTCCTCTACATCGAACAACATATGCATACATGTAAGCTCTCGCAAGCCCGCGCGGATTACGTATCTGGATCGGAGCTGGAATCTCCTGCCCGGCACGCGATATGTCCAGCGCCGATTCACGAAGTCTGTCCAAACCTCCGAAAGTGCATGTGTATGCCGATGGTTCCTCTCATTGTTGCTCGTCGTGTTCTTAATCGTTACCATTCGATCCGCATCACGTTTCCTTCTACTGCTGCGCTGCTGTCACTCATCGAAACGTTTTCCCCCGCCGTGTGTTTCAACTGGCCCAGCTCGTGCTGTTCCTCCTGTTACTCATGCTTCTCGCCGTGGCTACTGGCACTGATCTTCCTGCTCCTCCTGCTAATCCTCCTGCTCCTGTCGTTGTTCCCTCTGCGGTTCTTCCTCATTGTCTTGCCCACCATCCCATCATTAACCTCGCCAAAGTCCCTCCCACCTACACACCATGATCCTCAACTCCTCCGCCGTTCACATCGTCCCTCCTTTTCTCATATTCGTCGCCCGTCTCGCACTCTTCTGCCTTTTCCTCCCCGCATCGTCCTGCCATCGCTCGTCGCATCCCCCCATTCCCCTATCCCCCTCCTTCTCCTCCTCCTCCTCCTACTCCTCCTCCTCCTCCTCCTCCTCCTCCTCCTCCTCTTCCTCTTCCTCCTTCTCCTCCTCCCTGCATCTGCTGTTGCTCCTCCTCCTCCTCCTCCTCCTCCTCCTCCCTCTCCTTCGGCATCCTTCGGCATTAGGAAGGAGTCACCTCCTGTGCAACAGAAAATGACACGACACACCCGCAACAAAGAGAAAGAACAGAGACGAGTTTAGCTGCCTGGCGAGCTCGGCGACTTCTGGGGCGGAGGCGGAGCTGCAGCCAGCAGCGTGTCCACAGGGAAGCTCTGACCGAAAAACCTATGGCTGGACGGATCGATCCCCTGCTCAAGCAGGGCGAAGGAATGTCCAGCACCCTTGTTGCGAAGTCCTTTTTGAACAGCTCTCCTTCAAATGCTTGAACCTCGCACGCCCGAAAGCACCACATTTCACACACCAGGTCACCTTCCCACCCCCCACACAAAGCTCATGGGACGGGTGGGAGGCGCGGGCAGCTTTGGGGAGACCCGAACAAGGTGTAAAACACATCGCTTTACGTGAAGCTCCCCTGTCCCCACACCGAACGGACATGAAACCTTTACCTGCTCTGGCTAGCTGCTGGCCGAGGGAATCAGGAGTCAGCTCGAGAAGTGCACATTTAGCTCGAGCGGGCTTTCGATACTTGATGGCATCGGGAAAGTTCAGATTGGCAAGACGGCCGAGAATCCCCGGAACCACCTCACGAGCAACAAGGCCGTACGGGTTACGCACGTATGGGAGGATTAGCCTGGGCATGTGCTCCGAGCTTAGCAAATCGATCAGCCTCTCGGTTGCCGAACCATGCCATCAGCATTGAGAACCGCCATGCAGCTAAGGTGAGATTTTCCTCTGATCAATCTAAATCTAGAAACTCCAATGCCATCTGCTAACCGAAAGATATCAAGGCACAACTATGAGAAACAAGTGTTAATCAAATCTTGCCCAGGTCCAGCGTTCCAAATGTCGAGCACCATCTCGCCGCCAGCGGCAATCACCGCTGGGGTTGCTCCGAGGTGTCCAAGGGCAACTGATGGCGCAAGCGCTTCCCGCAGCCTGCAAGTCGCAGGAGGTGCGGGAGCGGACCGCACAGGTCCCCAAGAACGTCACCCCCAATATCTATTCCCACCACGGCATACCCTGCCCGAAACAAGGTCACACTGTCTTGGTCGAGGCCAGAGCCATTGACACAAATGTTGCCTGTGTCCAGAACTCCGCTTCGAGGGAAGCAGCTGCATTTAGGCTCAGCATTGATATGCGGCGCGGGCCAACTCCATTCTGGACCTATGCGTGAGCATCTTGTGTAGCATAGATCATACTCGTCAGCACGTCGCGCCCCATCAAGGCGTTCGTCCAAGTCCAGGCTGCGCAAGAAGAGCTGCTGCGCATCACATTCAAAGAATATGTGAGACTTGGTGCCGGGCGCCTGCCTGCGCCACTGACAGTGGCCGTCCACCACCCTTCTGTCTGAAAATAGCTCGCGCTGGGTGGCGAACCCCCCTGAAACCGCAACCGCAAGCCGGCCCGCAGAATCTCTCTGGCCGCGAGCTCGCAGGTCACGACGCGTAGAAACTAGCGGCTCCAAGCAGGGCGCACCTGATAGGCTTCCGACTTTGCCTTGGGGTCCTCCAAGGCCCTTAATGAGGCCGCGCTGGGTGCTCGACTTGATGGCGCTCTGGAACGTCCGTCTCCCGCGGTACCTCGGGCTCATAGGGGGCCCTTGACCAGTCGGCCAGGAGCCCCCGAGACTTGATCGTCAACCCCAGCCTATCCAGCGCGCGCGCTACTGCGCCTGCGGGCCCTTGTACACGCTGCCACCCTCGGTCACGAATGTCTCGAAACTGTGCAAAGCAGGTCTTGGGATGCAACTCTGGAGCCCAAAGCTGCTGGAGCGCCACAATCCACCTCAATGGGCCCTGCATTGGCAGCATGCACTGGATCTCCTCCTGGATCTGGCCCAAGGAGAAACTCCAAGGTCCTCGAACGCCCTTAAGGAGCACCGAAAACAGCTTGGGCCAGCATGGCCCGTAGTTCCACCAGCTTCTCGTTGAAAAGGCCCACCGCTGAGGTCGCATGGGGCGCCGACGGCGGGGCCCCCACCTTGACCGCCTTCGAGGGGCCCTTGAACGCGCTCCGAAGGCCTCTGAACCGCGACAGCCGAGGGCGAAGCTTGGCGAATCGATCGGTCTGCACATTGGTGGCCCTTCTACCTTTGACCAGGCTCTGATCAGTCCCGAGATTTTGACCAGACTGGGAGACAACGAAATCCCGTATATGTAAACGCTTCTGTATAACAGCTGCTACTTCGGGGTTGGTGGAGATACTAATACCCTTATCTCACGACCAGCTGCAGCTTCTCGAGCTGTAGGCTAAGCCGCCGCTCTGCCAATGAGTGATCCTAGCCAAACAGCGTTAGGTAGTCGACCACGTTGAAGATCCTGACGCTTTGCCAATGCAGATGGGCAGTACCGCACGGATCAATTAGAATAAGATTCACGAGTGATGTGGCACATGAACATCAAGCGACAATACCTTGCCACACCTCAATGACATTTAAAACCATGCTGCCCATCTGCAAAAGCCTAGCTGCTCGAGATTGGCGGAAACGAAGGCGTAGCCTAACGAGAGGAAAACGGTACTTTACAGCCGCTTGCACCAATAAGTAATGACAAACCTTCTCGAAGGCCTCGGCTAAATCGATCAACGCCGCCGCCGGCGGGATAACTTTTAAGTTCGAAAACTCCCCAAACAACGCCTGCTCCCAGACAGCTCTTTCGCAGCTACGGCCACGGGACCACTGTGGAAGTGGCGAAACTCACGAGCCTCCCAGCGATCAGCCTCTGGGCGATACAGCTGTCCAAAAACTATACATGCCCCAGGTAGCAATCCAATCGGCCGAAAACATATGTCAGGTCGGGGAAAGAACACAATACTGTTCAATGCTAACTGAGACGGAAAGTGCCCGAGACGTTCAGCCCAATGCCAGAGGAGCCCCAAAACGGTAAGTGCAGCATCGCAAACGAGACCCACGTCACGCGGGCGCACTGAATCACCCCCTTGGCCAGCCCAAAGTTCGAACTTGCCTGCCGGACGCCGGATGTCGCCAGCCGAGGCAACAGGTGGACAAATAACTTGGCCATCGCTCTCCTGCATCCTGATCAGATGGTCGAGCTCGCCGATGACATCTGGAAGCTTGCTGCCGGCAGGCGTAGGGCGGCATATCCTTCCAAAGGCCCTCCTGTTTCTGAATCAAATCGCTTGGTCCTGGGGGGGGGCCTGGCTTGATGGATCGGTTGGGGCCCCATCCCAGTGGGGTCTCGGTGCATTGGCGTGCTTGGCCAGGCCCCCCTTTGACCGCTTCAGCCACCCAGTCTCTCCACTGGGCTGACCTCCTACTTGGGAACTTCTTTCCCAACCTTCCAGCCCAAAGTCCTGCTTCGCGCTGCCGGGACTGCAATCCCGACCCGGAGCCGCGCAGAAAGTCGCTGGACAAGACGGGCTCCCAGCTCCGCCAATCAGGATGCTTCCGACGGTGCCCAGGACCAGCAATAATGTGTTTGATGAGGTCATGAGTCTCTGTGGAGCCCCAGGAGTCTGACTTGGCCTTGATGCGGTGGAGCTCCTGGAACCATATCGAAGCTCACCTCCAAGCCCCACTCTCGGGACATGCTATTCGGTACGCTCCACCTGCAGTCCTGAGCGACTTAACCTTCTTGGGTTGCCCCTGACCAGTTCGGCCCCCATACTTGTTCCCAGGAACCTGATAATTATTGCGCAGCTCAGACTCGAAGGAAGCCAGGAAATGCAAGAAGACGGTGTCGAGCTCTAGGGGGGCTCCACGGTCTTGAGCTTTATCCGAGAGGCCTTCAGAATCAGGAGGCTGGGGCCGAGGCCCGATATGGAGCTCCGTGGGGGACTTGATCATTCTAAACAGAACCCAACGGTTGGCTTCCATCGGGTCCCCTTGCAGAACAAAAAATACTGGCCAGTGCGGCGCTGTCGTCGCCTGCTCATTCCGCCTGCGCTGGTGCACGCAAGGCGCAAGCCCTCGCGACATCACGAAACAATTCTAAACTTCGCCACTGTTTTGCCGTCGATCGAAACGTGGCCTGCTGGGGCGCAGCGATCACGCCAATCTTCCGCGACCAGCCGAAGGCGTGAAACTCCTTCGGCTCCACATTCCAATCTCCTGCAAGAATAACGGGGGGCCCTAGCGCGTGGGGGATCTCGCCGAGACGCGAAAGGACCCGAGAGCCCTCGGGGCCCAGCGGAGACCCTTGCGGGAGGCAGACAGACCCAGCCACAGACCCTCCAGGGCTGCAAGCGTTCACACACAGAGGCCGCGGTTGATCTGGAGTCTTCCCCATTCCGACGCGGGCCAATGAAGCCGCGGCAAAAACCCGGCACTCAAGCCCCCAGAGTCAGTCAACCGATGGGGCGGAGGCACAGGTTCCAATTCATCTTGTCGGCCGCAGCTTCGTGCCCCCTGCGGCACTTAGCTTCAATAGCGATCTCCTGGAGCATCACCAGGCTCGCGTCCGTCTCTTTCTCCAGATATCGCTTGGCTGACTTCCG